CCAGCTACATTAAATGTTCTTATATTGTTGTTTGCTCAACTTTGTGAAGATTCACCATTATTTATGTACTTTTCTCTTCATTTTTATTAACCATATTGTACGTTGTCATTAAGAGTAGTTTGCAAAAAAATGCTCATACATGAAAAGAAAGAAGTTCTACGGAAAAGCAGGGTTTATTCGTGAATTTTCAAGCAGGCAGCGCCGGCCCGTTTTCAGACGAAGGGAAAAGTATGGAATCTGTGGTTGGGGGGAGAGGCGGTTAGACAGACGTTCACCGTAGGGGCGAGAATAGACGTGTCACGGTTAATGTTGGGGGGAGGGGAGGAGGAGGAGGGGTATGGACAGTCAGATAGGATCCACTTGTCGAGGGAATGCCGCACCAGTGCATTTCTACTCTACCGGTGTGTGTGTCAGTGTGCCATGCGAGCAAAACATCGTAGTGTGAAGCAAAATGGACGTGCCTGTTATTGCTGGTCGGGCTCAAGTGCCAAGCTTCGAGGAATTCTCTCGCTTGTCGCCTGTTAATCATGGCGATCATTTCGGTGGCGTCCCAAATGAAGTGGTGATCACACTCAAGGGAGTGCGCAAATACGAGTGATAAAGGGTCCCGTTGGTGAACGGCTTGCTTATGTTTTCTGATGCGAATCCCGAGAGGTCGGCCTGTATGGTCAAAGTAAACACAAGGATAGCTGGCACACGGTATGCGGTAAACAACGCTACTTACTTGTTCTACGGGTAGGGGGTCCTTTACTCGGCATGAGGTTGGGTGTAGGGAGGATGCCGGGCTATGGGCGACGGAAATGCCGAAATCATTTATTTGTCGAGAGATGCTTTGGAACTTTCTTCCGTGACACTGTATCTCCATTGAGAAGGAGGTTTTGTGCTTGACTCTGATTTCCGAGGCAATTTTTACGAAGCTTGTTGGATATCCATTGGACTAGAAGAAGTCATACAATTGCGTTAGTTCCTTCTTGAGCAAATGATAACTGCTACAGTAGTGGTAGGCCCGTTGGAAAAGAGTACGAACACAGCTTCTTTTATGGGCCGCAAGATGATTACTCACATAGTTAAGCGTTATTTCTGCAGTGGAGTCCTTTCGGTGGGCGCCTGTTGCCAGCTTGTTATAAGAGAGTGTTTTTATTCTGAAGTCCAGAAATCGGAAGGGTTCTCCTGTTGGCGCTTCGCGAGGAAATTATATTGTTGGGAAGACCCCACTTAGACTCTGGTGCAGTTGTTTGACGTCGCAGTTCTTTATAACAACGACCATTTCATCTACGTAGCGAAGCCACATCTTTGGTTTGACAGGTTTTAAAATTTCTTTTTCTAGTCGCTGTAAGGCTAGTTCGACAAGTAGCCCCGAGATTGGCGAGCCCATTGGAGTACTCGTTACGCGCTGATAGTACTTGCCATCGAATTGACAATGGTTCTTGAGACAGAGCTTAAGTACGTCCTACGCGTGTTGTTTCGGAATAGCAATAGGTTTTTCGTCTAAGCGCCGCTCTATGCTACCGACGGTGAAGTCGTGCGGTACAGAGGAAAACAGAGTAACAACTTCGAACTACATAGTACATTCGTCAGGACTTACTTGAAGGCCTTGCATTCTCTGTAGGAAGGTCTGTGAATTTTTGATGCTGTATTGCAATCCATCAGTTAGGTGCTTTAGTTTTCTGTATAGCCATTTGGTGAGGTTGTAAGTAGACGATCCAGTTAGTGGCACCAGCATCTTCAATGACCGCATCATACTTGTGCATCTTTAGGCCATAGGCATGTGCAATGCGAGGATCACCGAGGTCCCGGGGATGATGAGTTTCAACCGAGAAAGGTCGTCTATCTGCTTTTTCATAGTAGTGGTCTGCTTTTCTGTTGGTTCCGCATCGACTGGTGTGTACGTCTCGCTCTTATTGAAGACTTGGCCTGTCTTACTTACCTAGTAGGTCTTACCCATTACGACAATTGTTCCACCTTTGTCAGCAGGCACGATGATTATGCTGTCATCAGTCTTCAGTGAGAGCCACCCCTTTTCTCCCAGATAGCTAGGGTTTTATGGTTTTTTCTTCGCTGCAGGTGACCTGTTGCGCAGCTGCCTATGTCCGCACGCATACCGCCAGCGACGGTGGAGAACAGTGGGAGGAACTCGAGTTTGGTTATGATGTTAGTCGGTGTCGCATCGCCATAGCTGAGCTTTATTCCTTTTGTCAGTTTGTTTTTCAACGGATGATATATTCCTTCGAGATAGGTTAACAACCCTCGTCGACATGATCCTTCTATTAGTAGGAGGTAGAAGAGATTTGAGTTCCTCTTGTAGACTGGCTCGTTTCTTCATTTTGGCGTACGTTTTGGTGGAATTTACTCCTTGCAGCACCACTTCGGATAGATTGGCAGGCAAACAGATACAACACTGGCTTCCGAGTTCGTTAATGTTTCCTTCGAAACGGCCAATACTGTGGTGAAAGTCGGATATAATGGCACTTAAAACACGGAATCCATATTTGCGTACAAGCAATCTTCCGGTTTGATTAGGTAGAGTGCGTTTAAGTCGAACGTATGTTGAAAAGATGCCAAGATTGCGACAGTGGTTATAAATGTTACTGATCTTCATTGTTTCTTACAGTAAATAGGAACGCAGAAACGATAAAATGTTGCTGTCTTAAGCAGTCAGAAGGGATTATAGATTTTAAAGAACAAACTCTGGAAGTGTGTGGTTCACATGGTGAATACTGTGCAATTTCTGCTTCAGATAGGATTTTGTTACAACACGTACAGCTTAAAGTTCGCACATATTAACTTGACGAACTAAAACATTTTCTTAACTTTTTTAATGACGACGGGTGGGAATACTAATTGTAACCACCAATATGATCGATGCACACCAATTCGTAACTTGCCAAAATGTCACTCCTTTAAAATTGCGCGACCTGTGTACAAATAACAGATTTATTTTCAACCTGAACGTACTCTTCACCCCACCCGACGCCTGGCAGGATCTAAGCGACCGTCCCACTTGCCATGTTGGATTAGTTACAGATGAGTTGCCTTAGAAATCATTAGTGTTTAAACTGATTCACGATGGAAGTTTGTCTCGAAATATTAATCGGAATAATAACTATTTAGTATTCAGCTGGGACTCGTCTGCCCAAAGGTAAAACGTCTGACGTCTATTTGTATAGAGAAACATGAAAACTGCTTCACGAAGCCTTATGTGGTACTCAGGTGCGGCACAAATCATGTAAACATATGTCTGACCTTGTTACTACTGATTGGTTTGCCTAAAACTTTCGTTAACTCTACCCTCTCTTATATTACTGTATTGCCTGATGATGAATTAATCGAAAACGTTCGTTCACTTAACTTGACTTCCATATGTCTGACCTGTTTCCTACTCATGTCTCTGATGATGAATCCGCGACGGATGTCAAAACGTCAGGCGAATAAACGCATTGTCCCAGCGATCGAGTCTTCTGCTTCTCATATGTCTGACCTATTGGTTTGTATCCGTTTTGTCAGTTCGGTGAAGCAGTAAGTATGAGAAAGCAGTGTTTTCCCGATGCGGAAATGGCTTCATTGTAGTCTCTGATAAATTGAGTAAAATCATAGTCAACCTCTAAGACATAATGTGTTGTCTATGATCGCGTCTGCTTCATAGTTACTTCCTGAGACGCACATTGTCGCCGGTATCGGTTAGTAAACGATTCTACGAAGGTTCCTATTGAGTCAGCAGTAAGGACAATAGTGATGCTTGAGGTTTGCAGTCTTTAGGTTTACGTAGTGCTTTAGGGATTGGAGGTGTCATCAACCTCCGGTTGCGAATCAGCGTCACCTATCCAAGAACGACAGGAATGTGACAGTTTATAAGAGCACGTCGTTGGGGCGCTACTGAAGAAAACGTAGATGGGTTGTACGGAATGATTACCGCATGTGCCAGGCTCGAACAAAATGACTTGACATAACTAGGCTGTGTGTCTCTCAGCGAAATTCCCATAGATCAAAGATATCGGGGGGGGGGCTAAATATCGTTTTGTGACTATGTATTGGTAAAAAAAAGGCAATAGGTACTATAATCTCAATTTCTAGCCAGTTTTGCACTTAACAAACAGCATCTGAAAGGAAACGAGGCTTTCCAGTGAATGGTGGAACCAAATCCACTATCAAATCGAATTTGGTATCATAATTTTTTGTGTGCAATCGAGACATCTGTCCACTGCCTTTTAAGCAACAATACCTATTCCATTCTTATTTAAAGAAGTTCTCCAGAAAGAGGCACTGTCTGGTTTATGGGTAAAATTTTACACACAGGTCGCCTAATTCATGATAAGTTCAAAATTAAATTAAAGCAGGACGTTTAACGCTAGTTAAGGTTTGTCGTCTGGTGATTTAGATCGATTTGAGCCGCGGAATGGTGTTACCTTAAGAATAATTCATATTATATCTGTTTATTGAATAAAAACAAATCACAATTTGGCTAACTTCGGAGATTTTTATTACTAAATTAATTTTCTACGCGTTTGGAAGCCACGGATCGAAATCTTTTGCTTTTGCGGGTTGTAGCTTGAACGAAAATTTATATAGGCAGAGATGGTAACATTCGGTTTCTGTAAGCAGTTAAATGCAGGTATGAGTAACCACATTGATATTGGCAAAACAAGAGCGGATTTTGTTTTAAGAATTCAGTATTGTACACCTGCAACATTTGGTAGGAGTACGTCGTGGGGCCGCCTGCGGGGCGCGCTTGGTGTGCCCTTCTTTTTGAGGATCACGATTATAGGGGAGAGGACGGGTGGGGCATTCTAGGGAACAAATAAGTTCGCAATACTCCTGTAGAATAAAAAAAGTTACGGGGGTAAGTTGGGGCGCGTACTCAAACCTCGGGCGGGGTCACTGAAGTACGCTTTAATATCATCGTTAATACCGCCACCGGATCAACGGCGAGCGCTTATATGTAGG